GGGCGGGGTGGAGGCGAAGGTGGCGGGGAGGAAATGGGGGAGAGGGGGGAGGCGTGTGTGGACCGCCGGGGGGGCGAGCCGCTTCTGGGGAGCCTTCCTTTGTGTGGCAGCCAGGCATGGGGCCGGGCGAGGGAGGCGGGCCTGTGGCGGCGGGCCGCGCCTGATCGCCCCCCGTCGTGGATCTTCCGTCTGCTGGCTGGACCCCGTTGTTCTCCCGGGCCTCGCTCCCCAAGGGGCGGCGATCGGAGGTGGCCCCGGCCAGGTGCGTGCGCCTGTGTGCCCCCCGGCTGGGCTGAGTCCGAGGGCGTGCCGCCCCTCTTGTCGGGGGGCAGTTGCATCATTTTTCCGGTCCACCAGTCCCCCGGCACGGTGGAGGACCATCAACGGGGGGGGGGGGGGGGGGGGGGGGGGGGGGGGGGGGCGGGGGGGGGGGGGGGGGGGGGGGGCATATCCTGCCCGGATCTTGGGTTTGGCGGGGGGAGGGTGGCCCGCCAGACCGGCATACCGGGCGCGGCCCGGCCGGCGATGCAAGCGTCCGACCATCGCCTCCTCCGGCGGGCGTCGTCGGAAGATCTTGGCCGATGAAACGGACGCCTGGCTAGTTGGGCCTGGGGTGGGGGCCGGCCCGGGGAGGCCGGGGCGGGCGCGGCAAAAAAACAAAAATACGCTCCCGCTGGTTAGGCCCGCTGGGGGGGGGGGGGGGGGGCGCGCGGGGCCCCAGGGGCCTGCTGAGAAAAGCGCCCGCGGCTCGGGGGGGGGAGCAGGGGGTTCGTGCATCCAACCGCCCCACGGAGGCCAGCTCGCCCGCGGGCAACAATAACAACATCGGGCCTTAGCGCGGGAGTGGGTCCGGCAGCATTGTTGTCGCCCTCGGGCCTGGTTGGGGCGGTGCCAAGACTATGACCCCCCCAGTCCCAGCCCGTGGCGAGGTGCCTGTGTGCTTGTGTGTGTGCGTATGCGTGCGCGCAGCCTGCGGGCGGAGGTCGTGTGCGGTCCCGGTCGCCCTGCCCCCCCCCCCCGTACTTAGAGCGCCCGGCCGGGGAGGCGGGAAAGTCCTTATCATATCGCTGTGCGGGTCCGCGGGCGGAAGCTGCGTCCGCGTGCGTCCGCGTGCGTCGCGGCCTCGCGCGTTGGGGCGGTGCGGCCGCCTTCGAGCGAGGCGGGGAGAATATTCTGGAGTCTGGCTCTGTGCAACCAAGAAGCCGCGGGCGTGTACACCCCAACACCGGCCGGCCGGGGCGTCTGCTCCTCTCGGCGTTGTTGGGTCTGCTGCCCCGGCCCGCACACGAGTCGCGCGCGGGCGCGCGTGCAAGCGTGCCCGGCGATCACCCCCGCCCTATGCCAGGGGGGCGCTGCGCAGATGGCCCTCGGGGCTGTTGCGTGGACCGCGCCCGGCCCCCCCCCCCC